CGCCCATTCAAACAGCCTTACGGTTAGGGCATTACATGGAGCGTTTTCTGATTGTTTCACTACAAGTGGTCTTTGGCACTTGCAGCTTCATACTTGAGCACTTCTATGTACAACTTCCAGTTGTGACAAAGGTAGAAGGATGAAGCCTTCGCCGTCGATCATCACGATCATCAATTTTTGGGATGCACACACATTCTACTTTTAATCGTAGTGCCTGTACAATTACTTGTGGGGGGGGGCAGCCGATGTAAGCTAGTGATCTTATGTCTTATCTTATCTCCCAGACGAAGCTGGTATCAACTCACCCATTGAGGGCGGGAGGCTTGATCGGCCTAGGCAGGAGCCGATCCGGTATTTGACTCCCAAACCGCAAGCGTGGTAAGCGTGTCACTTTCCACTACATCAGAACTATCATCTCCGCCTTGATATTAGCGCTTATTCCTCTTGCAGACGCCTCATGTGTGTGGCGCAGAAGCTGAAAGTGTTGGTCCTTAGCTCCACTTCACGCAAAATTGAATTTCAGGCGGGCATCGAAGCTTTCACATGCCGAGGACAGGTCAGTAGAGAAAACTAATGTCTGCACTACTGAAATTCTTCTTGCGAAACACTTAAAAATAAAGTGAATTTCTCGAAGACTACTCAATCTTTCTAGACAAGCGTTGAACGTGATTTGGAGAAGTTTGAACAGTACATACAGGATGGGCCGGCAAATGAACGGAGTGTTTCGGGAACAGGGACCTGCAGAACCTTCTCCCTTCATGTTATTTCCCATGTGCATCAGTGAATTTGGAGAAATAATTCATTTGAGAAAGAAAGCTGTGACCTTTTATCTGATTGACCGCCAAACCGTTGCGCCTAATGTCACCAAACAATCTTTCCCTAGAGATTCTTTTGATCGAAGTCAAAATCCTAGGAAAATTTGTATTTACAGGTAACCTTGAACTCAAGTTTTACCGACAGCAAAGATATTACGGTAATCCAACTCAAGTTAGAAGCAACGAAGTTCTTACAGAATGGAAACTACTAAATGTCAGAAAACCAGATGGCGATGTTTTGATGAGGCGCATCCTTGGCCAACACCTTTTATCATTACTTCCGAATATCAGCAATGGATCTAGAGAAAAGTGCCCTTCAACAGGTGACGAATTTAGGGGCTCGTTTGTTGAAAGCTCCTCGATGACACAGTCCTTCTTCAGTAAGCTCTATAACCTAACGATAATCGTATTTTGGCTGAACCTCGGTTTCGCAGAGGAGACTCGAGCGCAAATATATCGATGGGCTTCACCTATCGGAGGGAAATAGAAGATAATGTCGATCTCGAAGACGAAAAACGTAGAGGGAATTGAAATTCGTAGACGTACTTACGATCAGTTACCGCACCTACATTGGTTTTTTCGCGCCCGACGTCTCCAGTTTTTTTTAGACGAAGGATTCTGCCTCTATTCATTGAAACAAGAGCTTTCGTGATCCACTTGACTATGACTTCGCTTATGACATAAACTAGATTTTATGCAGGAACAATGTTTCTGGGGATAGAGGAACAGCAAGAACTGCTCCTTCGAATCTGACACGGATAAAACATGGATCCGTCATATCAAAAGAACAACACTACTTCTATCCCCTGAGTTCGAATCAAGTGTTCGTAGGGAACCGAACCTTGACAAGAGCAGGATGTTGTCGATCGCCACCAAGACGTAAAGGCAGTGGCTCACGGCTCCATACAGGCCTGCACTACTGTTCAAACATGATGTCAAACTCTTCGAAGCAAAAGCTGGTCGTGAGTAGTTGGTTACAGAGGGATGATCATGAGTGACGCCAAAATCTCTGTTTCCTATATCGCTTGCGGTTGTGATAATAATGGTCACTGAGCACCAAAAGCTCACTCCTTTTTGTTGCACATGCATCTTGCTTGGGCTCGAAAGCGAGCTCTATATTGCAAGCGGGTATGCGAAGTCACCAATATTTTAGCAGTCAGCACCTCTAGATCATGGTTGGATGTTCACTTATGAGAACGGAATCTATATCCCATGTACGCAAAAATACACGGCTCACGCTACTGTATTGAAAGGACCACCTGCATCACCTGTGCTCCCGCTGCACGAGTTGCTCGAGCAGGCGCCACGGTCTCCTTTAGTCTGAGTGAGAGCTAGAGTTGCCCAATTGGTCGTTCGTTTGAATTCCCGTGGAATCCAGCGGTAATCGCTCTGGTCCAGCGGTCGTCCTCGAAACGCATGACGTGCCCGGCCCACCTGATCTTCGAAACCTTGGCAAACGGCGGCGTCTCTGATCTTCGATCGTCGGCGGAGTGCGGAGCTCCGGATTCCCTCTCTCACTTGCGTGTAGCGGGAAACTCCGAGCATCGCCCTTTCGATGGCGCGTTGAATAACGCCAACCGCATGCTCATCCTGCTTTCGTAGAGTCCAAGTCTCTGAGGCGTACGTCAAGGCAGGAAGGACCGCGGAATCGAAGAGGTGGGCACGGAGCTTGGTGTTCTTCGTCTTCTTCGCTACTCCCTCGATGTTCTTGAAGAGCTCCCCAAGCCGCTCGCTTCCTCCTGCTCAGCTCTGGTGCTAAGTCGTTGCTTTCACGCCTAGGTACACATAGCTAGAGCATTCAGAGATGGTCGTTGAGCGTGAATGGGGCATCAGAAACCAATCCGTTTCTCATGAACATCGTCTTCGTTAGATTCAGCCGTAGACCGATTTTCCACACGCGCAGTCGAAATCAGCCAGCATTCGTTCCGCTTGCTCGATGTTTGGTGTTTCAGAGCATCGTCAGCAAAGCGGAGATGGCGTAGTTGTCCGTCGATCTTCACTCCCATCTCTCCCCATTCCAGTTGACGTTTTCAGGAGAGGCGCTGAAGAACTTGGGCGGAATGGTGACGCCTTGTCGGGCTCTCTTCTTTGCGTTCACGATATCTCCTCATAGAATGATGCGATCCTGATCATGAAGTTGCGGTAGAACTTATCGTCGTCTGCGACGGTGATCCC